CAATTTCGGCTTTAGCGTCTATTTCTGGGCAAAAAAGTGCTCTGGACAAAAAACGCGTTCGTGGCTACTTTGGGAGCAGCGCCACTTTAAACTTAAAGCGACCGAAACTGGTGTYGCCTGTGTCAGCTCACTCTTTCGCCCGTAACTCAGTCAACAGCCAAAATTTTGCGAAAATTCAAAAAACCCCTTAAACCTGMGGCGGTTGGCCACAAAAAACTATTCCTAGTCAAAGTCGAAATTGTCCCCCACTTTGGAGTAAATCGGGTYTGAATTTTGCGAAGTTGCACCTGGCTGGCCGCAGTCACCACTCCACTCTTTCCCGCCTGCCGCCGCCAAATTTCACCCGATCACCAATCCCCATACACGTGCGGATAGCCAAAGCCACCCTCCTAAACAATCACTCGAGGCAAAATTCGCTATCTCCCCCCCTTGTGGCGCCACCCGCCCCCCAACACTCACCTTCCTCGGGCCAGTAGCGATGGCACATGGCGGCGCCCCCTTCCGTCAGCCGGCTCAGCATCACGATCACCACGGCGCCCTGCTCCCAAATCAGCTGCCAGAAGGCGGGCGCAGTGTGCGGCAGCGCCCCCTGCGTCGCTATGTAGGCCGGGTTCCTGCAGAAAAATAAAAAAAATATTTTTTTCGCCCCAAACCACCCAAACCCACCTGGGGTCGTGATCCGTGATGCTGGACGCGTTGATGTAGTCGCACCCACTCGCATTGGACAGCTCGTTCAGCACGACGCGCGCATGATCATACGGCACCACCTCAGGGTACCGGTTCATCTCCCTGTTGGGTGTCTTCAGCGCAATCGAGGTGTCGCACGGCTCAGCCACGTAGGCGCACAGCGCCTCCCACTCCCGATCCAGACGGTCTTTGTTCTTCAGATGGTCCTCCATGTAGCTGAGCACCATGTGGCCTGCAACCAGCCGTCGCTATGGAAAATGGCTGGACAGCAGCGTCCGACCTACCAGTGGAAATGTCCATGTTGTGCAGCGCGGGCTCTTCGCTCCAGGACGACGTGCTCGATCGGCTCGAGGGACTCTGCTCGGACTCCCTGGACAGTGAGGTGATGCGACCTGTAAAATGCGCCCCATAGGTGGATGGACAGGCGAGAGAGGGCGCTGGTGGGTCACCTTTGTCATGCGCGGCGTCGGTGCCCGGCCCTTTGACGGCCATGCGCGCCCTGCACAAGTCCTGGTAGTCCTTCGAGGCTTCGCTGTCCGGCTGGTTCAGGCCGTGCAGTTTTTCCTTGGAGCGGGCGTGGCGCCGCACCAGGATGAGAACGATGGTGGCCACAATGAGCGCCACCAGAATGCCGCAGACCAGCGAGACGACGATGAACTGATTGTCGGGGTTCACTTGGGTGAAGAGCACGTGCTGCATGCGGATCTAAACAGTTTGCCCGGTTGAAACTGCGAAGAAAGCGGTTTTTGCTGGTTCCTTGCTGAAAGGAAGCGGCGCTTGGCCCAGAGAGGGCGCCACCGAAGCCCGATGTTTCGGAATGGTGCGCCGGACAGCGCAAGCTTTTTCACGGGTTCCTCATCTTAATTATTAATTCATTACTCATTCATTATCATTATATTCATTCATTAATCAAAGCGCTTTGAAAATATCTCCATTAGAACGTCGGTTTTGTCTTTAACGCGGACTTTTATGATGGAAAGTGCTTCATTGCTGAAGGGAAACCGTGCTGCGCCCATAGAGGGCGCCACCCGCGAAAAGCCGTTAAACTGGTTTAAATTAACGGGTTTTCCTGCGGGAGTTTTCCAGTATTTTTGAAATCGTCTTAAAAGTGTTTTTTCAAGGTTTTTCTGTTTTTTTGGACAAGGTCCCAGTTTTCCGAGAAACAATTTTTGAAAAAACTTCGAATTTTCACCGTCAAAGTCAAAATTTCGAAAACAACATTTTTGGTAATTTTCTGATTTTGCGGACATTTTTGATGGAAAAAGTGCTCCCGATGAAAATCCCGTTGCGGCTTGGTTTGACTGCAACGCGACTTCGAAATTAAAGCGATTGAATCCGGACTTCTCTGTGTCAACCCGCTCTTTCACCCGTAACTCTGTCAATTTTCAAAATTTTGCCAAAATTCAAAAAACGCCTTAAACCTCATGCGATTGGCCAAGGAAAAGTCATTGTGTCCAAAGTTGGTATTTGGGCCCACTTTGGAGCAAATTGAGTTTGAAAATTGCAAAGATGCAGTTGGTTAGGCGCAGTCACCACTGCACTTTTTCCATCATAACTCGGTCAGTTCTCAATCAATTATACTTCCAAAAACAGCGTTCAGTAGGCGATTGAATTCTCTTGAACATCTATTTCAGGGAAAATGTCGATATTTTAAAGCATTCATGAGAAAATGGCCCTTGAAAAATGGTAGGCCACACACTACGGTGCTGGCTGTCCAGTCGCACTCATAGGCAAAAATGGCAGGCTTATGAAAATGCATGGTTTTCCGTTGGACTCGGACTGACAATTGACGTTGCTGCAAAATTGCAAAAATGTTCACGCAAATAAAATCCCGAAAAATAATTTTTGAAAAAACTTCGAATTTTGCGGATCTAAACAGTTTGCCCGGTTGAAACAGCGAAGAAAGCGGTTTTTGCTGGTTCCTTGCTGAAAGGAAGCGGCGCTTGGCCCAAAGAGGGCGCCACCGATGCCTGATTTTTGAACTGGTCGCCACTACCGGGTTTTTTTCGCGGGGAAAGCGCCAGCTGTTTCAGGGTTTCCTCATTTTCATCAAACAATTCTCATGATTTGTCTGCGGCTGTTTGGCAATTTTTCAGTGGGAAAATCATTTTTTTTAAATGGATTTTCATCTGGGGACTTCGGCGTCTTGACAGCGCTTTGAAAATATCTCCTTTAGAACGTCGGTTTTGTCTTTAACGCGGACTTTTATGATGGAAAGTGCTTCATTGCTGAAGGGAAACCGTGCTGTGCCCATAGAGGGCGCCACCCGCGAAAAGCCGTTAAACTGGTTTAAATTAACGGGTTTTCCTGCGGGAGTTTTCCAGTATTTTTGAAATCGTCTTAAAAATGTTTTTTCAAGGTTTTTTCTGTTTTTTTTTAGACAAGAGTCCAGCGAGTGAAGTTGCCAGATTTAGAGGATGTTTGCGACCTTTTCCGAAGTTGCTATCAGCTTTTCGACAGGCAATTTAGAAAAGATTGTCGGCTACCCAGTGAAAAGTGAGTGTTTTTTTTATTTTCTTTTTAATACAGTGATTCAATAACAAAAATCCTCTAAACAAAAAACAATTTTCTGGCTTTTCTTTTATCTGTGCGACGCTCGGTTTTTATTTTATTTCGATTTTTCTATCGAAAGCGCATCATTACTAAAGAGAAACCGCGCTTTATCAACAGAGGGCGCAAGTCCCGACAAGCTTAGTTAAATGTACAGAATTTTTTAAATCTCGCTTCAAACTTTTCACTAAATCCCCAGAGTGATTCATAGAGGCGCAGTTGCCAGATTTAGAGGATGTTTGCGACATTTTCCGAAGTTTCTCTCAGCGTTTCGACAGGCAATTTAACAATGTGTCTGCCATTTAACATCCGGTGAAAAGTGAGTGTTTTTTTATTTCCTTTTTAATACAGTGATTCAATAACAAAAATCCTCTAAACAAAAAACAATTTTCTGGCTTTTCCTTTATCTGTTCGTCGCTCGGTTTTCATTTTATTTCGATTTTTCTATCGAAAGCGCATCATTGCTAAAGAGAAACTGCGCTTGATCAACAGAGGGCGCAAGTCCCGCCGAGCTTAGATAACTGCACAGGATTTTTTAAATCTTAAAAATTTTCACTATATACACAGGGTGACTCAAAGACGCGCAGTTGCCATATTTAGAGAATATTTGGGACCTTTTCCGAAGTTGCTATCAGCTTTTCGACAGGCAATTTAGAAAAGATTGTCGGCTACCCGGTGAAAAGTGTGTGCTTTTTTATATTTTCTTTTTAATACAGTGTTTCATTAAAAAAATCGTCTAAATAAAATGAAATTTTCTGCTTTTTCTTTTGTCTGTTCGGCGCTCGGTTTTCATTTTATTTCGATTTTTCTATCGAGAGCGCATCATTGCTAAAGAGAAACTGCGCTTGATCAACAGAGGGCGCCAGTAGCGGCGAGCTTTTCTACCCATTCAACTGGGCAGGTTTCCTAACCCTTGCTTCCTCATTATATACAGGGTGAATCAGCTAATGAAAATCCCCAAATTTGCCGGTTCAAAAATACAGGGTGTAGAAAAACCACGCAAAAACGGGCAACGTTGCCAACAGTCCTAATTTACCTTATTCCCCACGCCAACCGAAACGACATCCAACCCAATGGTGGCTTCAAAGTCCTGCTTCATCGCATCTGGAACATGAATTCCGGGTGAAAAAATTCCGCGAAAAAAACCGGGGAAAACCCACTTACCGATGCGTTTGGCAACGTCGGTCGAGTTGTATCCGCGATTGTTGGTCGGCGCCACTCGGAACGACACCGAATTGCTATTGACCCTGGGGAACCGTGAGTGTGACAGAGACAGGCGACATGCGAACAATGACGTCACTTACGAGGCGTCAACAAAGTCGCGCGCTTCCATCCGCAGCAGATTCGAAATGTTCCTGATGATGTCCTTGCCTTGGCGCCAATCGCGCAAAACGTTGCGAAACTCCACGTGCACGTACTGGCCGGCCTCCTCCGCCTCCTCCTCCTCCTGCTGTCGGTGCTCAACCTCGCGACTCCTCGCCCCCTCCAGCGGGTTCGCGCCTCTCGGCTCCTTCTTGATCATGGAGGGGAGAAGGTCGTTTTTTGGGTGCGTCCCTGAAACAACCGCTCATTGGTCACACGCCCCCCCCCCACCCACTGCGTGTGCGCATACTTGCCTGGTTTGGTGATGGCGGGGTCGAAGGGGGGGCCGGGTTTTTTGACGTCGAGACGCTCCGGCCGCTTGAAGCCCATACTGTAACGGTCCCACAGATTCAAATCGGACGGCGCACCTGCAACAGCGCCATCTAGTGAGAAGCGGTGGCAATCGGCGGCTGAGGGGCACCTACTGAGTCGGTCCAGATTTTCGGGTTCGGCGCCACCTTCGCTGTACAAAATCGGCTTCCATTTGCGATCGAAACTGTCGTCCTCCTCTTGCTGCTTCTGCTTCAGTTCTCGGAAAACTTCGTTCGCGTTCGGGTTGAGAAACTCGAGTTTGCGCTCGGTGAAGATCTCGGCTGGCGCCCCGCTGCCGTACTCGGCCGGTTCCGGAACTTCGTCGTCTTCTAGAAGGGAAACTTGGATCAGTCAGACAGTGGGGGGCGCATGCGCCCTCTAGGTGGGCACGTCACGTACCTTCGTAAATGCGCGTTTCGGGCAGATCGAGCGGATTCTGCGCCCAACCGTAGAGCTTGGGGGCGTCTGGAAAGGAAGAAGAGTTTATTATTTTGCGTTTCTTTTACTTTGAATTTTTTCGTATTTATTTTTAATTTTTTTCTTGATGTTTATTTACACTTTTTTACAATTTTTTATCATTTTACTTTTCATTAACCTCGAATTTTTTTATACTTAATTTTTCACTTATTTACTCTGTCAAACTAGAGCAACTGCTCCTAACCCCACTTGGGATTAGATTGAAAATGTCAAGAAATTTTTTTTTTTAAACTAAAACAAACTAATTATGAAAGGAAAGGGAAACCAAAGKGCGGAAAAAAGTGAAAAATTAAGTATAAAAAAATTCGAGGTTAATGAAAAGTAAAAYGATAAACAATTGTAAAAAAGTGTAAATAAACTTMAAGAAAARAAAAGGACAGAAAAAAAATTAAAAWTAAATATGRAAAAATTCAAAGTAAAAGAAACGCAAAATAATAAAATCWATGCCTTCAAAATTAAAAAAARTCTTCARACTAGTAACAAAGWAGATGAAATTGATAGAGCAATAAAGCATRAARAAAGMAAAARACTAAAATAAATTGAAMAATAAWTTRWAMAMKWATTTYGAGGTAAACGAGTTAAAAAAACTAAAGCCTTAACAAGTTARAAATWAAAAAAAAACAAGTTTTCAATTGAGGATTTGGAATTTTCGAATCCGAAGCAATGAAAGAAACAAAAATTTTTTTTAAATAATATAAAATGAATGAAAATGYCAAGCAAGTTGAGCAGTCAAAAAAAATTGGAAGCAGAAAAAACGAATGAAAAATAGAGTAAAAAAATTGGAATTCCGGCAGTTTGCTAAACGAGTTCAGAAGCACCCGAGAAAAGAAAAAAAAAATGTGAATAAACAAAACAAGATAAATGTCACATAACGTTTTCTGTTATTATGAGGTTGAAAATATGAAGAAAGAATTATTTAAATAGTTGAATAAATACTGAAAAGAAAGAGAAGTCAAAGTGCGGAAAAAGTGAAAAGTTAAATATGGAAAAATTCAAAGTTAACGAAACGTAAAATGATAAAAAAATTGTGAAAAACAGTGAAAAAAATGCCTTAAAAAATAAAATTGTCAAAAAATTTAGCGAAGCTAAAGTACAGAAAAAAAATTAAAAATAAATATGAAAAAATTCAAAGCACAATAAACACAAAATAATAAACAAATGGGAAAACTCAAATTAATGCCTTCAAATAAAGGAAAAAGCTAAATAAAAACAATAAATTGAAAAATAACTTGGGCACATTTTCGAGACAAGCGAGTTAAAAAATAAAAAAAAGAAGGTTTCAATTGAGGTTTTGAAATTTTCGAATCCAAGCAATTAAAGAAGCAAAAAAAAAATGGAAATAATTTAAAATCAATGAAAATGCATTTGTAAGTCAAGCAAGTGGAGCAGTAAAAAAAAATAGGAAGCAGAAAAATCGAATTAAAAATAGTGAAAAAATTTAAAAAAACATTGAAAATTATTTAAATAGTTGAATAAGCACAAGATGAAAACTAAAACAAAAGCGTAAAGAGAAACCAAGGAACAGAAAAAGTGAAAAATTAAATATGAAACAATTCAAAGGTAAAGAAACGTAAAATAGTAAAAAAAACTGTGAAAAAAAGGTGAGTTATTTTGAGATTGAAAATGTGAAGAAAAAATGATTTAAACAGTTGAAGAAGAAAGTGAAAAATTAAATATTAAAAAACACATTTGCAAAAATGCAAAGTAATAAAAAATGGGCAAAATAAAATTAATGCTTTCAAAGTGAAAAAAATCGTGACATGTGGAACAAGGAAGATAAAATTCGTAGAACAAATAATGAAAAAACTAAATAAAAACTTACAGACATTTTAAGGAGGTAAAAAAGTGAAAAAAAAAATTTAAATGTAAACAAATGTAAATGACAAAAATATCAAATTAAATTCAGTTAAAAAGTCAATCGAACAAGTTGAACAGTGAAATAAAAATTAAAAGTAGAAAAAATTAACCGAAAATCGAATGAAAAAAATATGATTATAAAAAACTGCAAAAATGAAAAAAAATATGGAATTTCCAAACGGTTTTCTAACCAAGTTCAGAATCAGCAAAAAAAAAAGAAAAAATCAAAATAAGAACAAAATTTGAGATTGAAAATGTGAAGAAAAAATGTTTTTGAATAGTTAAAAAGTCAAAAAAAAAGTCTAAAGAAAAACAAAAGACCGAAAAAAAGTGAAAAGTAACCATGAAAAAATTCAATTTGAAAATGTGGAAGAAAACCTTGCCTGGCAGTTCGTTTTCCTCCTCAATCCCCTCATTGTTCGGGAGGAACTGGAGCTGCTCCAGTTTCGGATCGTTGATGGCAATTGAGGAGAGTTTTCCATAGTTTTCCGGGCTCAGATACGCTCTGAGGTCCTGCGGGGAGACTTGGAGGTCGTTCAGCATTTTGAGGAGCGCAAAAACCTCGTCCTCCGGATCGCGCGCCTCTGGCCGATTCGCCTCCTGGTCGGAGCGCCGATATTTCGGCACTCCATATCTGGAAAAATGAGGAAAAAACCTCAATTTCTTTCACAATCATGGTCGAGTCGTGGCCAGATTTTGAGGAGTTTGCGGGACAATTTTCCAAACACCGATCCAGACTGATTCATAGCTAAAGCGCAACCGCGCGGAGCCCAGAGATGGCGCCACCAACTCTAAGGATCAAACGTCATTTTGACAAAATACACGGGAAATGATTCATTCAAAGTGGCGACGTTGCCAGTTTTCGCACATGGTTTCGAGTAGATTTCTGGGGTTTTCAAGCATATACAAGGTCTGAAGGTCGATTTACCAAATTCCCCACGCGGTACGGTTGATATGGCAACAGTTCGCTTTGTAATGTGGATTGGTTTGCGGAAAAACTTTTTTTGGTTGATGTTGCCATTTTAACCTCTTGAATCAAAGCCACTTCTTTTATTAAAATTTTTCCCTTGAAAGCGATAGTTTGTAATGTGGATCAATTGATTTGTGATGTGGATTCTTGAATTATTTTTTTTGTTAAAGCCCCTGTTTTCTACTAGTCGACGCTGTAGCTTTTGTGTGGATTTTCCATCAAAAATTCTTATAATGTGGACTTTTCCTGGGAATTTCCACTTAAGAAAAAACTTTAATTCCTCAATACGTGCAGTTTTTGGTGTGTAATGTGGATTCCCTTGCGGCAAATGTGGATTCTGATCGAACCACATTTGATCTGCATTTATTATTAAGCCAGTGCCAAACTATGCAAGGTTTTCACTAGAATAACACGCAAATTCACTGTTTGTAATGTGGATTTTTTGTTCAAAAAATGTTTTTATTTGCCGGAAATTATTTAAACCGCTTTTAACGCCGCTGCAGCTGAAAAGTGAGGTTAGTTTGGATTTTTCCACTAAAAAATTGGTAGTTGTAATGTGGATTCTCCAGTAGGAGTTTTAGCGTTTTATTGAAAAAAAATTATTTTCACACAGTTAGAGGCAAGAAGCGATTGCAACTCGAATTTCAGGTTTGTAATGTGGATTAGGTTGCTGGAAATGTGGAATGTGGAACGCAAAAAAGTAATGTGGATTCTTGAGTATAATTTTTTTCTTGCAAAAGATGCCCCAAATTCTTATTTTTCGTTACCGCCGCTGATAAATCAGCTTAATGTGGATTTTTTGCAAGAAATTCGACAGTTGTAATGTGGATGCACCAGTAGAAATTCGACTTTTTGAACAAACATTTTAAAATTTATTTTTTTAATTTTTTTTTATTTAAAAACGAAATTTTCTGTTTGTAATGTGGATTCGGCTGCTGAAAATGTGGAATTTTTCCGCCAAAAAATTGGGAATTCGACTCTCATGAACACAGAACTCCACTTTGCTTAATTGCCAATGAAATATCAAGAAACTCGAACATTTTTTAAATCTGCAAATGTGGATTCTTAAAAGACAAATGTGGATTCTCCTAAGTTTAAGTTGAAAATCCTTGTATTGCCGATATCTTAAATTATTTGAGCCTGCTTGGGGCGATGTTGCAAATTCTCGCGTTACTACTGGCAGTTATTGCTAGTAATGTGGATGCATGAGAATAAAAATATACTTTTTTTGGCAAAAAATGTATAAAATTCGATTTCTAGTCACTGCCGTTGAGAGGTTCGATAAACGAGGATTTTTTACAAAAAATCTGACAGTCGTAATGTGGATGCAAAAGGAGAAATTAACATTTTTCGAAATCAAATTTTTATATTTCCTATCGTTATGGCAATAAACGGTTCATCATCAAATTTTTCTTCTTGTAATGTGGATTCTGCGGCTGAAAATGTGGACATTATTACTTGTAATGTGGATTTATGAGGATACATTTTTCTTCTGCAGAAAATTTACGAAATTCCTTTTCAGCTAATAGAGAAATAAATATTCAAAAATCGCAGTGTTAAGCTTGTAATGTGGATTCTTATACTGGAAATATTGACAATATTACTTGTAATGTGGATTTGTGAGGCCGATTTTTGTTTCCGCAAAAAATGCACGAAATTTTTTGTCAGATTACTGCCTTGTAGCTGTCTCCGTGCGGATTTTCCAAAGAAAATTGTCCGTGTCCCAAGTAATGTGGATTCTCAAGTAACAATTTCAAACTTATGAAGATCCAGTTTAAATTAGACTCTAGCTATTGAAATTGATGTTCAAAAATCGAAGTTTTCCGGTTGTAATGTGGAATCTAATGCTGGAATGTGGACATTATTACTTGTAATGTGGATTTATGAGAATAAATTTTCTCTTCTCCAAACAATTTACGAAACTTTTTTTTATGTTACTGTCTTTGAGTAGCTGCATTCGTGTGGATTTTTCGAAATAAAATTGTTTGTGTCTGCAGTAATGTGGATTCTCCAGTCGAAATTTCAGAGCTTTAAGGCAACAGTTTAAATTACCTTCTAGCTATTGAAATTGATGCTCAAAAATCGCAGATTTCAGGTTGTAATGTGGAATCTAATGCTGGAATGTGGACATTATTACTTGTAATGTGGATTTATGAGAATACATTTTCTCTTCTCCAGACAATTTACGAAACTTTTTTTCATGTTACTGTCTTTGAGAAGCTGCATTCGTGTGAATTTTTCGAAATAAAATTGTTCGGGTCCGAAGTAATGTGGATTCTCCAGTAACAATTTCAAACTTTTGAAGATACAGTTTAAATTACCCTCGAGCTATTGAAATTAATGTTAAAAAATCGCAGTTTGCAGGTTGTAATGTGGATCTTGCTGTTGGAATGTGGACATTATTACTTGTAATGTGGATTCATGAGGATACATTTTTTCTGCAGAAAATTTGAAAAGTTCCTTTTCAGATTACTGGGTTTGAGTAGTTGTCTTAGTGCGGATTTTTCGAAAAAAGTTGACCGAAGTAATGTGGATTCTCTTGAAGAAATAAACGTTCAAAAATCGCAGTTTTAAGTTTGTAATGTGGACTCTGATGCTGTGAATGTGAAATATTGGGGCAAAAATAGCTAAAAATACGACTCCACAACAAGAAATTTCGGAGTTGGCAATGTGGATTTTCCAGCTTTTTTCACCGAAAATGTGAAAAACCGCACATTTTTTAGAGCTGAGGTTATGGGTAAGTAATGTGGATCATGCACCGCAAATTTGACTGCTTCGCTGTTGCCACGTGGCGCTTTTTTTCGGGGAAGTGTGGATTTTCAGGTGAAAACGCCTCAGCCATGTAGTGTGGATTAAAACAAAAATCACTCACCTTCCATCAAAAAACGGCGCAATCGATCTGCGCCGCATCGGCAGCGGCAACGCCCTTTTGCGCAGCGCATACTGGACCTCGGGTGGGGGCAGATCCACTGTCAAAAAAACGAAAAAATCTGTCAAATGTCCCAGTCCCCCTCACTCAAAACTGACAGTCGACCGTCAATCTGACAGCCAAAAACTCACAGTCGACACCTTCATCCGGCCCCAGAATCCTCCTCCTCAACTCCTCGAGCTCGCGATCCTCACTGGTGGGCGGGTAGTAGATTTCGTCGGCGAATTGCGGATCGCCATTGGCCGAACTGGGCGTGTACCTGATGATGGCCAGCTCGCGCGGATCCGGCTGGTCGAAACTTTCAAGGGCGCGCAGCGCCCCCTCCAGGTCGTTGTCCGAGTCCTTGAAGCAGGTGATCGGGTCGAATTCCGTGCTGGCAACCAATCAGACGGGCCGAATCAGCTGCGAACTGGAGCGCAGGCGCCTCACTTACCCGGTTTTGAGGGCGTAGAGCATCCCTTTGAGGCGACATTGAGTGTAGGCGTGGCCCCAACGATACCCGAGCGCAAAAAGTCTGCGCAGCTCCTTGCTCAGATCGTGCAGCTCTTGCTTCGAGAGGCTGAACCTGAGAGGGTAAATTGGCGCATTCGCCATCACGTCCAAAAAACCCACTGGACGCATCCGCCACCCGTCCAGAGTTCACTCACCTGTAAAGATCCTCCTCTTCAAACCCGTCATACAAGGACAGGCACTGCCCGAAGGCGCGGTCTAAAAATCATCAAGTACATTTGGCAACATTGCCTCGGTTTGACAGACAAGTCGCTTACCATTGTAGCACCATTCCTCCTCTTCTTTGCAGTTGAGTTCGCTGAAGAGACAGCCTGTTGAAAGCAAGATGAAAAAGCAAAGAGGGATGAGCGAGGTAGAGGGGGAGCGACGGCTTACCAACGTTGCCTTTGGAGGCGACCTCGGGAGGTCGCAGCACGGCCAGAATAAGTGGCAGCAAAATCAATCGTAGTTGTGGCCCTGGCCACGGCATGGCCTGCAAAGTTCGCAAAAATGCTACTTTTAGGACAAGCTGGCAACACTGCAAGCATACGAATGTCCAAAATCCTGCGATCGATGGAGATTGGATTTAAAGTGATGATTAATTTGGAAGCAAAAGCTGGGAATTTGCATGCAACTTGGCAACACTGCATTCAATTGTTACCGGAAAGCAAAACAAACAGAGAAAACGTTGAAAAAGTCACAAGTTTAGGAAATTGTTTGGCGCTGGCAGCGCTGCTATTTTCCCACATTTTAACCCCAGGAGGCACACGGAGGCGATGTTGTCAAATTGACTAGAAATTGATCAGGCCTCTGCCGAGCAACTGGACTATTGCCAAAAAACCCAGAAAAACCGAAAATATTGGAGACACCCAGAATTACKCYGAAACTTGGCAGCTMTGCAAAAATATTCAATTATTATTGAAAAATTTGGAAAGCTTCTTACTCGTTTTACGCGTGTCTGACATTGACGGAAGCTACGGAAAAAACGTGTARCTGGCAACACTGYAGATRTACTGAAGAGAACACCGCTAAAGGCTAAAATGCRAATAGTTCTGGGGGGCTCACTTAAAAATCACMGAAAACAACCGAATCTGGCAACATTGTAMGCMTAYAATGAATAAGAAAACTGGAAMGTTCAATAGYAGAAGAGAAAATTGGCACACTGGCAACGCTGTTACTCATCASGTAGATTTTTCCAMACTGCTTGGGCGCAAATGCCACGTTGCCAAGCTGTTTGTTTTTTGGCGMCTTGAGRTTTATTTTCAAAAAGTTCCAAGTRCACRTGCAAGAAGGCTAATTTCAAATCTACTACTGGCAACATTGTAAACTGTCCCAYGCTCCAAGACATGCATAAGTGTGACTAAGTGACATGCATAAGTGTGACTAAGTCTGGCAACACTTATAAAAAAGCACGTGGACTGGCAACRCCGCAACTTACACTGAATATGAATTGAACTCGCCCCTATTGCCAAGTCAACGAAAAATCAWTTTTCCTCGAGAATAAACAGCCCACTARATAACACGTTYGTACTGAMTGAAATAATTTGGCAACACTGTAAGAAACTGAGGAACAAATAATTKGGGWCAACGCTGCAAGACTGTCAAGATGCGTAAGGYWATTAGRGCAGTCTGGCAGCGTTGCTAAAGAAAACAAGAAACAAGMAAACGAAATTTCYCAAAAATTCTAAAATTTAGTGAAACATTGGCAACCATGTAGAAATGTTGTGATGAAAAGGCAATTTCTTATGCGGCGTTGCCGAGTCGTGGACAGAATTTCAGCTTTAATGTACACGATACAAAATTGAAAATTGCACAGAAATTTGGCAACACTCGGTAAATTATGAATGGCTTGTGTGCGTGGAAACAATGTTGCCATACTGCGCCCTTGCAATGCAACAGTGAGGATCTTAAAATTATTTAATTAGGCAACGTTGCCAAAAGCTTCATGTAAAAAAGGCGACGCTGCCACGTTTCAGAACAGCACATCGGCAACACTGTAATCTAGAAACAAAACGCTCCAGACAAAACAAATGTTTAACAAATCTTGGCAACACTGTTACACATGTTTCTCAGCTGCATTTTAAACACCGATTTTGTTGTAAAACTGGCAACACTGTAATACGGAACGTCTTTAAACGGCGCTGCCAAAGTACCGTTTTTTCATTAAAATCCTCAGGTATGCGACGCTGATAAATGTTGAGCATATAAATTACGACGTTGCCAGGTTGTCGACAGCAACAGTGACTGCTTGGTTATAAAGTTGAATTACGTTGAAAACTGAGGAAACAGTGTGACATTAAAAATGCAGTGTTTGCAAATTGTTTACGCATAAAAATGCGGCGTTGCCGGATTGCAAAAAAGTATTGATTTCATTTGCAAGACGCCAAATAGTCGAAACACGTATAGGTAAACAAGGTGGGAAGTCACAGAAAACCAACTGGCAACACCGTAGTGTTTTGCAGATTTCCAGAAAAACTATATTGGGCCACGTTGCCACTGCAACAGGCTAAAACAGCAGGTTTTCAAAGTTCCATGCAATAAGTGGTGTTGCAAAATTTTTTACACACACCAAATGTCTGCAAAAAAGTGCATAGAAAACTGGCAACACCGCAATATTGAAAGTCTACAAACCAGGTTGACTTGGGAAAACGGGCCGACGAAAATGGAAAATTGGATTGCAACTGGCAACGTTGGACGGAATATTAATTGCAAAAGGAACGCAATGTTGCCGAATTTCCAAAAAAGCAGGAAATGCCCTTGATGACAGAAACAAAATCTGGAAATACTCTGGAAAATATGCGGCTGAATGACCTGGATAAATCCGGATTTCCATTTCCCACCTACGCAAACTTTTCACGGTCGTAAACGATCGATTAGCGCGGCCGCTTTTATCGGCAAACCCGACGAATGCAAGCAAACAAGTGGTTTTGAGGTCAACCGGCTGAAAATCGATTGACACAGGAAAATCGGCGGAAGCCGACAGGATTTTTCAATACAACCGGCAACTACGCCACATTTCCACACGGATTAACTGTGACACGGAGTGACAACTTTGACAATGACAGGCAATATTTGCGTCAGAAGTTAGGTGTCACTTACTGTCACTCAGGCTAACGCGCCTTGAAAACCCAAACACAACTGAAATGACCAAACGTCAATGAGTGAAAAAGTGAGGTTAAGAGTGGCGTGAGTGGCTGACCAACGAACTGGATCAGAACTGAACTGACTTGAGCCTGCAACAGCGACATTTGGCACTACTATAACAGCCCTGTCAAAGTCAATGTCAAAGGAATCGACAGCTGTCAGTTGAAAACGTCAATGACAACACTTCCAACTAAATAGACAGTGTCTAGTGACAGCTGATGAGATTTTTGACACTTCAGCTGGTTGCGCTTGCGCTCTTTCAACGGAAAGTTTGCATGGTTTGACAGATCGCACGTGTGTTAAAACCTGTCAATGTGTCGCGCACAAAAAACGAATTGACAGCTGTCATTGTTGACATTGAAGAAAGAATGGTGCACTTGTTGTGATTAAAATTGGCCAACATTGCATTCTTAAACGCCAAATATTTTGTACAGTGTTGACAAATTTGTAAGCAATTTTCAACTTTACTCTTCCGGTTTCGGATGGGATCCATGGCAACATGGCATTAATGAGATAGTTTTAGGAGCATTCTAGTGGCAACGCTGTTTCGAGATTTTAAATTTTGTGCAATGTTGTCAGTTTTTGATGTCTTTTCTTGCAAAACACGACAGGAGGGCGACATCGCCTTTCTAATAAAGATGAAAAAACTGTGTGTTTGACCTTAAGGCTTCTAGGAGTCCTTCAGTAATACAGTGTTGTCAGTTTTCGGGCACCTTTAAACTATTTTTAGAATTTTCCGCATTATTTGGGTTTTACAGCCGAGTCAACGTTTTTTATCTACAAAATGGCAACACCGCACTAATTTGCATGCATTTTTTAGTACAATGTTGCCAAATTGTTTGTGAAATTTTCAACTTTACAGTGCATTTGTTCCGATGGTTCACCTGCCAAGTCAACGTAGTTTTATGTAAATATATGCAACATCGCATTAGGTGTGTGTTCGTCGAAAATGTGACAACATGGCACATTTATGGAGTTAATTATTAAGACACTGACTGAATATGTTTTCAGTGCATCGGCAAAGTTTATGTTAAGATTCTGCACTAGTGTCCAGTGTTGCCAGTTTTTAACACAACAAAATTTCAAAGAAAGTTGAAAAAAACCGCTGTTTCATTTTGATGCAGTGACAACGCTGTGGTTCAACTCTGTAGTCAATTGTGCTGAATCCACCACATTATTGCCAGATCTGTTTTTTTTTCGAAAATAATTTTCAACTTTTCTATGCACGCTTGCAATAGTTGCCATCAGTATTTTCCTACCTTCAACAATAGGCAACGTCGCGTTTCGTGTGCAAAAAAAATTGCAAACAAATTTCCTCAAATTGATCAATTTGGGATGTTGCCAGCTTCAAACCCCAACGAATAATGACAACATGACAGTTGGCAACCTTGTTGCTCTGGACGTTATCACGTCACCACAGTAATGAGCTCTAAGACGCATGTCATTGGTGACAGCTGCCATCGCCACCTCAATTAAGTGACATTTGAAAAATGGAACAACAGAAGGCAACATTTTGCCTATTAGCAGAGATGGTAAGATGACAGCTGTCATCTATACACGCATTTACGTCAGTCAGCACTAATTAATTCTGACAGCTGTCATCGTAACCTTCAAAAGTGACATTTGGCTGTTGAACGAGAACGGAGCAGCGTAAAGGGGGCGTGTTTTGGAGGGAGAGCGAATATTTTGCAACAGTTAAAGGCGTGGCCTGACGGTTGGCGGGAGGGCAACAGTGTGAATGAGGGTAAAAATGAGGCAGGAAAATTTTGGAAAAATTCTGAAAATTAAATTGAAGCGTTAATTTTCGGTCAGTTGATTCAAATCTGCCCGACTTAAGAGTCCTAATTCTTTATCAGTCCTGAAGAGTCTGAATGCCTTAAGGGTGCCAATCCGTTAAGGATAAAAACTGCAAATTCGGGGTCGAAACGTTGCGAATCAATCAACATGTCGCCACCATATTGTGGCAATGTGAGTGTGTGTGACAGTTGTGCGAGTGTGACGACCAATCAGAAGCACAGCGGGGCAGAAAGCAACACTGAATGGTTTAGTGTACTCACCAATGGAAAATCACCACACGAATCAGTGCATTATTATACACTAAACACTGGTCGATCCCGGATCGGAACTGGTGTTGCAGGAAATCGGCCAATCTGAGCAGGTTGAGGCCTGGATTCGGATTGGGCGGGCGCCGGCGTCGCGACGCTTGCGAGGGCGTCGCGTAGGCGCAACCGATCGATTGATGGACGATGCGAGAGGCGGCGCCGCCCTGAAGGGGGACGAGACGCTCGCCTAATCGAAACGCATCGCTTTGGAGTCGTGCGGGCGGGAGGGTTGAGGAATTTGAGGTTG